GTTTAACGGATTTCAGTTTTGAGTGCTTACGTTCTTTCCTAGGATATATTGGAAATGTAAATTAAATTATTTTACTGAAAATTATATAAAAAAAAAAATTGGTTGACTATCTTACTTATTTAATTATAAATTAAAATTAAAAAAAAAATAATTCTAACATATCTTAGTAAAGAACCTAAATGTTTTCAAAATTAAATTCGTCCATATAATTCCTATCGTTTTTTCGTAATGTTCGAGCCAAATTATCATATTTATATATAAAAACGGCCATATTCTTTCCCTTTAAATGAGTATCGGGCAGTAGATTAGTAGAAAAGACCTAATAATAAATTGGTCATTAAAGTGTAAAATATTTTTTTTTTAATTTTACAAAATTGGTAAATATTTGGAAAACCGTCATCATTTCCCATAAACATAATTTCGTCATTATAAAATATAAATACTTGCGTTATGTGTAATAAACTTGTAAATTTATTTAAAAGTGAATTTCATTTTTTTAAATTATTGAGAAATTAATTAATATTGCCTATGTACAATCCCTTAAATATTGGCCGGCCTGTGATATTTTCTCATAATATTTAAAATCTACAATCAAATCTAATATAAATAACTCTCGATGTTAATCCGTATAATGGATAATAGTTTTACATTTCTATGCTAGAAACCATTTCAATTTTTAGAAACAAAATTGATCGTTATTGTTTTTTCCCACAGCTCTTTGTATAATATTCAATAAAAAAAAAAAAAAACTCCAAAGGTATAGGTAATAATGATCGCATTGCAACATCATTTTCTCCTAAAAAAATAAAAAATAAAATAAATACATCAAAGAGTGTATTTACGTTTTTTTTATTTTTAAGAATATCAATATATCATGTTTTTGTATATATAGATACGAACCCGAGTTGAATCCAGGGGTGACATACAAAATAAAAGAGATTAAAGCAACATTGAAAGTATTTCCACTGGTAATATAATCGTACACGGTATGCAAATAATGTAAAAAAGTTTATAATTGAAAACGTTATAAAATTAAAATACATTTTTTTAAACAAATTGTTTAGCTCCAAATGAAGCATTGGTCAAACAGGCGATTGAACATATTTACCCGTTAGTATTACCATTTGCACAAACCAATAATTTATCGGATAAACGCTGTTTAGAAATTGTGTAGGAACAAAACAATGTTCAAGAACAAACCGCCGAAGTATTCAACTCGTCTAAAGAAAATTCATCAATATACTATCCTCCCGTAGACGAATTGTTAAAACAATTTCAACTGGACTTTGATACTTTTCTGTAAACTTTGGTGTCATTTTTTTAATTACTTATACATTACAAGATAATATATAATTTTAATCTGTGTTCATTGTTATAATTAACGAATTTATGTTAATTATTGACGTAGTTTAGTATAATTATGTATGAGAGCTATAGACCTATACATTTGTTTTCATAAATATTCATGTTTAATCAAATTAAAAGGGAATGTTTTCTTTTAAAAAGAAAAATTCATTCCTAACCTAAAATTGTATTTTATACATATATAATACAGTAAACAATTAAAATTAAACTCAAATTTTTCTCTTTTTCTGCAAACATTTTCTTGATCTATTAATAACATGTGACAATTTTATTTCAATATAGAGTAACAATAAGTTTGTTAACTAATTATTGGCAATTATATTTCTAATCTAATTATTTATTCTACTCATAATTGACAATTCATACAAGATAAAATATTTAGAGTAATTTAGGTATGGTTAATGTAGCCTGGAGAAGTTTCTAAAAGTTTGTTAAAATTTATCATCTATAATAGGTAGGATATTCCAATTAAAATGCATTCTTTAATCATCATATCACTTTTATAACCATTATTTCAGCTTTAAAGTTATCTGGACTTGGTTTATAATTTTTCAGAAACTAATAATCAAATTTTGTTCCCAATATAGTTTTGAAGTTCATAAATCATAGGTACTACGTACTTATTAATAAATTTAATATTACCTTCGAATATACGATCTTTCGTACATTTGACATTTGAACATACGACATTCGAACACATGACCCCTTACCGAAAAGACTAGCATAATTATAGTAGGTGGTTTCTGTTAAAATGTAATACCTGTAAATGTATTGTATTGATATATATATATATTTTTTAATTTTTCATGTTTTTATTAAATCACGAGTATATAGGCACATCACGATTATGACACTGTACAAATTAATTTAAATTTTGAGTTTATCTTTAGCATCTACATCAGAACTTTATGACTATAGTTGGCGCTAACAAAACTCGATGGGACGATATAAAAGTGTATAATTAAAAATTCTCCAAATTTGTCTAGTTCCAAAAACGTTTTTACCCATTGTTATATTTCACCACTTAATGAATAATAATAAATAATGCATTTTACGATAATAATAACACAATAATAAGTACGTGATCAAATACTATTGAAAAAAGAAATTATTCATTTTTTCGATTTTAAAATTTGACTCTCGTCGAATTTCCGACTGTGTAGTTTTGAATTACAAGGTACACGTCATCATATTAGATAGTACGAAAACAATTTCTCGAGTTTCCGTCAATAAAACATATCTTATACATAATTGTGTCTCTCTCTGAATTTTCTATATACTCGTATGTATTATAATATAGGTACATATGTATGCCCTTAAATGAAATGCTTATATGTTTATTGCTTTAAATTTAAAACCTACAGAAATAATACACACTACACCATATAAAATATATCGTAAACATCATGTTTTAAAACCAGTTTTACTTCCCAAATAGTTTTACACTCAGCTGTTCAAAGACTATAATATAAGGAAAATATAATAATATTATCTATATAAATAAAATTATGCTCCTATGTTTTTGCTCTATGTACTCGATCCACAATCGAATCTATTTCATACGAAGAGTTATATTTTTCGACTGTGGTTTCACGTTCATTATTTTGGGAACTATAAACCATTTATAATAATTTATGTTGGACATTTGCTTATTAATGTACTATAATCCTTTTAAAAGTATTTTTCAATATTTGTAAAATATATTTGAATAAAGTCATTTAGTATTGTCCAAAAAGTATTACGAGTAAGCATCACAGCGTCTTCTTTAAATTTACAAGGAAACAATAGTAAAACATTGTTATTATTGGGGTAATCTATATCAAATATCAATAGATCATAGTTAATAGTTTTACCTAATCGTGGATATTCCAACATTCCACTGATATTCGTAAATCTATAGGTATTACTACAAAGACCATACTAAAACTAGATAATAAATATAAATAAAGAAAAATATCTACACCATTGTCTAAGTCAGGGATTCTCAAATTTTTATGAACACTGTACTCCTTTTTACCAATACATATCTTAGTTTAGTAACTAAAATACAAGTATATATAAAAAATGTAAAGACTTACATACATTTTTATTTCATTAAGATTAAGGTATTAAAAACTAATACACAAAACATTTTAAATTTAAAAGCACTTACAGTCAAAGAAATTAGTGAGAAGGGTGAGAACTTGTTTCTGTTGGCACAGTTGATCCATATTGGGTTCTAATTTAGTTATATACAATCTTAAATCATCTTCAAAATTTAATTTTTTTCTATTTTTACTTTTAACATAAGTTAAACTTGAAAAACTTTTTTCACATAAATAAGTGGTGGAAAACCCAACAAGAAATTTGACAACAGTGCTAGACAGTTATTTTTGTTCCTTTCCAACACAGAACCAGAAATCTAACAATGTAGAATTAGAACTTAAGTATTCGTTTTCCAAGGTGGGATCACACGAGACTTCAATGAGCTGCTCCTTTTCAAAAGTATTCAGGTTAGTGTCAGTACCATTAGCATCAAAGTGATCACGTATCCAGTCATACTGTTTCTCCAAAGGTGGAAAACACTCTCTTATACGGATATTCAAGTGCTAGCCCATTTGAGTCTCGAGTTCAGTAAAATTAGATACATTTTTCTTATTATCTTACAAAAATATGCTCAATCTTTCAAAAGGCTCACAGTTGTTTTTTTGTATTTCTTTTTCCCAGAGAGTGATTTCTAATCATTACAATAGTTTATTTTCTACATAAAAATATCAGAAACACTACCCTGCACGGATAAATTCTACATATTGAGTTTTTCAAAACTATCACTTAAATAAGCCAACTTTAAAAGCCAATTAAATTCAGTAATTACTGAAGACAAATGCGATTTATGTTCGGTAAAAAAAATATGTAATTCTTCGTGAACTTCAAACTCACGGGACAAAAAATTCCCCCGTGATAGCCATCGTACTTTAGTGTGAAGCAATACATTTTCATGAAGGCTCCCCATATCCTGACTGAATTTTAAAGTAGCGAGATTTATGAGGCCTAGTTTTGATGAAGTTTACAATTTTTACACTCTGATCAAGGACTTCTTTAAGTTCCTCAAGGGGGTGTTTAGTTGCCAAAGCCTCTCGGTGAAGGACATAATGAACTTAAACTCGGAAACTGTTTTAATATGGTCTACCAGCCCTGTGATGTGACCGCTCATAGCCTTGGCACCATCCATACACACTAACACACAATTTTTCCATTCAAGCTGGTTTTAGAAAAAAAAAAAAAACCAAGCAATTTGAAAATATCTCTACCTTTTGTAGATATTTTAAGTGTCTTATAAAATAAAAGATCTTTAAATACTTCATCTTGAATTATGCCACGAACAAAAACGATCAGTTAAGCTAGGCCAGCGACGTCTGTGCTTTTGTCGATTTGTATCCCTAAGTAAGGGCTACCTCGAATTCTTCGAACAAGTTTTTTTTTTGTCATACGCCATATCATTGATTCTTCTTATCATTTGATAATAGAATTTTATTAATTATTTTTGCCTCTTTTTCTCCAAACATGCAAGAAACAATTTCTGCTGCGACAGGGAGAATAAGGTTTTCGTCAATAGTATGGTTTTTCCCAGACTTTGCGATCAAATGAATAACTTTTTAAGAAGCTTTTAGTGCCTTTTCATTTTGTTCTGCAGCAGAAAACTGTTTTATGCAGTTTTTCATATTTTTAAGATCTTCTAATAGACGTTCAAAGTACTGTAACTCCTCATTTACTAAATTTGTATGTTTACTTTCTAAATGGCGTTTTAAAAATGATTGTTTCACAGAATTGTTTGATAATATTTTAGAACAAACAACGCACTGTAGATTAGGCTCGTCTAAGCTTCCAGTCCAAGTAAAACCTAATTTTAAATAAAACTCGTCATATTTCCTTTTTTTAGTTTTAAAGACATTTGTCAACTTTTCAAGTTTTTTAATTTTTCCCTTGTGCTGCTCATTAGTATCAAAACATTCAGGTCTACTTATATTTTGTAAAGTTGATGGCCCAGGATTTTGATCATCATCCTCACGAGGCTTTTTATTTATGAGCCATTGTTAATTTTTATTATAAATTATAGTGATTTTACAATAAAAATAATTATTTAACTTATATACAAAATAATATAATTACTATATTATATTTAAGTACTGTACTGATTTTTCAAACAAAATTCTATAAACGGAGTCAACAGGCCTGAACAATTGTTTGAATAGGATTGTGTTTCTGCATAACAACACAAAACATTACGCAACACAATACTGTGAGCGAGCTTGTAATAACAGGCAATACTACTGTAGTGATACAGCTTACGTTGATATTTCACCGCCGCAGACGAACTGCGTTAGTTTGGGTATTTCCACAAGATAACCAGTGTTCTATTGACATGTATATGTCTTATTTATATTTGTGTACGTCCGTACACACGTGCCAGTTAATCGTTAATATTATACTGGTTATATGGTATATCATTCTCATAGCACGCGATAAGCCGATAACGCATACACACGCGCGTTGTTCACGGTAACGACGCAAGATATTATTTCCGGCAATGACAAATGAAACGATTAAATACTAGTTTTATTTTTATCGGATTTTTCCTATATTTTAATTTAAAGGTTTGTTGGCCAAACTTGTACCCCTAAATTTCGAGTAGCCCTAAGAGGTACGTGTACCACAGTTTAAGAAGCATTGGTCTAAGTTATAACATTATATTTTGTTTATTTGTTCTTTAAGGTGCTCTTTAGATAACTGGTTTACTAGGTTAAATAGCTTTATTAAAATATTTTATATAACTAATGAAAAATACTGAAGTTATAATAAATTAATAAACAAGCATCAAACGTAAATAATTTTGATAAATAACTCCTAAAATGTTGATCAAGGTACGTAGTTGAAAAGAGTGCATTTAATTATTTTAATTATGGCAAAAAGAGAAAACTAGTTTATTATATTTTCGAAAAAGGATTTTGGTAAAACGAGAAAGGTAATATTTGGCAAAAAACATGGCATCCACTTAAGTAGTGTAATTAATAATTGTATACACAAGTAGTGTATGAAGGCAGTACAGGGACACTCAGAGCAGGATTTGACTAAAAGGCACCCCAAAGCTAATAAAAAAAAAACCCTATTTCTTAGAACATAGACCCCCTCCCTTCGAATTTATTTACCAATTTTGTTTGTCTACATTCAAATGTATAATTGATTAACTTAAAAGTATTTTAAAGTCAACCTAAAAAAAGACTGACATTCATGGTGCAGCCACTTGTAAGTGAGTAGTTGGGAATGTAGAATATAGAGGGGAAATTAATTTGTATTTGTAAGTAAAGATAAACTATTGCTTATTAAAAACGATTCTAAGCGGAGTTTAGTTGATAGTCATTTGCAATAATATGTATGTCATATTATAGAAACATAATTAAATATATTTTCTTTAATAATATTTGTTTAATATTGTACCGATTTTCCCATTTGTCTACGTTTTTTCCCGGTTTTCCCATATTTGTTCTCTATTTTTCACATTTGCTGGGAAAACTCTTGGGATAATCGAAAAATTACTTCCCTAAGGTAACTTGCCAGTCAGATTTTATTTCAGAAAAAATGCTATCATTGTAAATTGGGAAAAATTGCTGGTAGAAAAGTTGTTAAGAAGTAAAAAAAATCGTAATATTTTACTAATATATTTCGTACATTTTCCCCGTTTTTTTTTTGGTTTTCTGCATTTGATGAGAAAACTGATAGTTACAATGAACATGATGCATCATTATTAATATATTATATAATTTGTATAGAACTTATAATTTATATTTTTAATAATTTTGCCGAATTAACCTAACTTATAGGTATTTAGGTATTTCTACCGATCTCCATTGTTTTTTTTTTCATTATAGTTATATTCTATGCCAGTGCTGCTTATTTCTGGCTATACATGTAAACTCCTACAAAAATGAAATTTTCATCTGAATTTAAAATATAGTGTCAATTTCTAAATAATTCTTTTTTACTTAGCAAAAATTGATGATGTAATCTCATTATTATTCATTATTATTTTGTTTATATGTTGACAACTTTTCTACCAGAAGAACACCTTTTCTGAAAGGGAATTGTTGTGGGGAGGTACTATTGGTGGTTATTTTTTAATTTTCTGAAGAGTTTTAAAATTTGTAAAACCGAAAAAAAAAACGGGAAAATAAAAGAAATGTCGGTATTAGTTAAAATATATTACGGCCTTTTTTTCGTGTGCACAACTTTTCTACCAACAATTTTGCTCCAACTTATATTGATAGAAATTTTTAAATCAAGTAATAAAAGAAAAACTATTTTTAGTTTTTTACTGTACAAATTAAAATGTTTTTAATAAAAAATTCAAGTTTAAAATGGTTTAAGAGTTATCTAGTCAAAAGGAAACAAAAAGTCAAAATAAATGGTATTACAGGCAATGACTTGTTGATTACTTGTGAAGTAGGTACCACAAAGAAGTGTTTTGGGACAAACCTTATTCATATTGTATATCAATAGTATATGTAAATAAAATAAATAAATATATAAATACAAAATTTATATATCAAAATAAAATAAATTAATGAATCACCTGGTGTATTATCCAGAAATTTTAATTAGGGGCGATCTTTTTAAATTTTATTTTAGAAATGTGTTCTTTATATCTTATTTTAAAATTTCTATTTGTCTTAACTACATAAAATTTATTACAGTTACATTTAAATTTAAATAAACCAGTATTTTCAAAAGAAGGGGAATATTTTGTGGAGCTTTTAGTTATATTGTTTGTATGTTTGATTAAATTATAATTAGTCTTAAAAGCAATTTTTACATTATTTGAATTATTGTTAAGAATTTTATTGAATTTTTTCAGAAAGAATCATTCCTTATAGTTATATATTAAATTTCCCCTCTACTACCTTTCCAACCTTTACAATATGAGTCTTAAAATATTTTATGCTAATTTACAACAGAGACAAACTAGTGATTGGTGGTAATGAATAAACTGTACTATCAAATAATATTTGATTATTTATACTAACTATTGAATAATTTATTTGAATAATCTTTTTATAGATAGTAGTATTATTTGAATTAAATAATAAACATGGTTAAATGTATTATAATTGTATAATATATTCAGCCATGATAATAAAGATTATTTGAATGAATAATTATTCAATTAACTTTCAGCTCTATTATTATTAACTATTACTATTACCCATATTCATTTATATTTTTATATTTTAGAACTTTAAACAATCAACATTTTTGTCCACAATATTTCTTCATGAATAATCTCAATATATTAAAGTATGTATTATGGTTATCTACAAACAAAATTTCTGTTTGGCATTAATAAATAAACAATATAAATATGAAATAATATTTTTAACAGTGTTCAAAGTGGTTGTAATAGTTTATACGAACCCATGTAAATAATTAGTGATCACATTCATTAAACAAAGATAGTCAATATAATAGAACTCAATATTTATAGTAAATAAAATAATTATCAAACAATACTATCCCTATAAAAGGTGACAGTACTTTTTAATATACTAAAAACCAGGAAGTTAAAAAGAGAAAAAAAAAATATAATCTTGTCCATAATAGAGATAAATGTTTTTTATTGTTTTCATTGTATTGTGGGTAACAAAACAACTTCAGGAAGTGTTATCTCAAAACGTTCAACTACTGCTAATTGGGCCAGTACTGAATCCCTCACCGAAAATATTTTTAACAGTTCTTTTTCTGATTTAGACAGAGGTATGGCTTTCTCCCAATAATCAACAGCTTCTTTTAATTTTTCACTAAAATACACAAACACAAATAATATATAATAAATATATACATTTTTTTTAATATCTTACATTCTCATGTTAAGTAATCCAAGTGTTTTATACGCATGAAGATATTTTGGATCAATGTTTAATGCTTGTTCAAGGAGATTAAATGCATCAGGTATACTATTTTTCCAAGATAATAAGTTCAATGCTGAAAAACAAAACAATTAATTTGTTGTAAGCTAGTTAATTTATACAGAAAGGTAGAGTTAGGGTTGCTATAGATGTTAGATTTCAAAATCCCTCAATTTTCCAGGATATTTTCTATAAAATACTGAATTGTATTATATCCATATTATAGAAAATAATTCTTTTTTCAATTTTACCTCATTTATCTATAGTTTTCTATACTTTTTTTACTAGTAAATATAAATATGGTTAATGTTATATATTGATTTTTAATATTTTTAAATATTAATAGCAAACAATTGTATAATACAAGCACATGAAAGTAAACAACAATATTAAGAAGTCAGACTACTTTAATAATAATTATAAGGTAAAAACTTACTGGTTAGAGTAGTTAATAAAATATTGATTATTTGGCATTGACATACCCACTCTATTCCATCTACCCCTGTAACTTTACTCTAGTCACATTTGTCTATGGTGTAATTCGATAATTTAGAAACCTTATCAAAATTTTTCTTTTCATTTTAATATAAGAAGAATTTGTTCAATCAATAAAATTGTATATATCTATAATGGTGATTTGGCACTATAAATATGTTTTTCAGCATTTTAGATTTGGAGTGTAATAAGATATCTATTGGTTTTATTATGTATTGTTTTTGGTCATTAAACACCTTTTTGAAAAGAAATCATAATTTAACTTACCAAGAGTAGGGCATTTTTTAAACTAAATTTTAGCTAGTTGGTGCATTAGAGAGGTCATTTTTTGAATTTACAAGAGATTTTCATAATAATTAGGAAATAACCTAAAAAGACAAAACTGAAAACTGATAAATTTATACCATTACCATTCCTTTATTTTCACATTTTACAGTATGTTTTCTACCAGAGATATTGCTCCAATAGAAAAACTACCAACTTTTTTTATGCCATTTTTAATTAGTTGGTGAGTACAAAAACCTTTTTTTGATATTCCCTGTAGTTTATTAAGAATCAAGTAAAACCGAAAAAAATCATGGAAAGAACACAAAATTGTACAAAAATAGTTTAATTACTTTCAACTTATTAAAAATATTCAGACAAGAAATTATGACAAAAAACTTAAGTTTTTTTTTTTAGGGGTAATAAAACATTTCAAATTTTGAGCTATATACAGGCATTTTAATTATATGAACCTTTAATGTAATTTTTACTTGATAAGTACTATGTGGAAAAAATCATTGGACTAAACAAAAATTCTTGAAAATTTAATAAAAAATCCATTGTATATCATAGTTACTAAGTGATAAAAAAAAAAAACAGAGAAAATTAATCTCTACATCCTATTTAAAATTTCTTGTTATTTATACATTTTATAGGTAATACTATGCTACCTACACTAACCCTGAGAATTTTGAAATCAAAGAACATAAGATTACCTCTAAGTATTAAAAAAGAGGCGTTGTTTGGATGAATTTCTGTCCCTTTTTTCAACAATAAATCTGCTTCTTCATAAGCTCCTTTTTCTGACAGAGCCTAAACGTATACATATTTAATTTTAAAACTACAACATTTCATACTACATTTTTCTACCTGGGCATAAAATGTATAACTGTTTACAATATTTGGGTATTTAATCACAAATCCTTTCAATTTTCCCAAGAATTTTTCAATATCTAATTCATTTGATACTTTTTTGGCATGACGGTATTGAGCAAAATAATATTGAACAATATACAAAACAATTTTTGGATTTAATTCCATAGATTTTTTGAAATCTTCAACCGCTTTCTCAGTGTACATTTCATCTAAGTAGATCTAAAAAAAATTCAATGATTTTTGTTTCCATAGAATGATTTTTTAAAAGTGTTTTCTTATGCTTTATATATTACTTGAGCTCTGTGGTGATATATTACAGAACTATTGGGATCAATAGCTTCAGCCCGTTTGAAATCCTCAAAACATTTGTCAACTTCTTCTTGTTGGTGATAACCAATTGCTCGTTTTATTAAAGAATTTATGATCAACTATTAAAAATATAACTACATTAATAAAATAAAAAAAAAAATAAAAAAATAAAATGCTCCAATAAATAAGATATCAAACGTTTAAATAAGATAGTTAAAGTATTTTATCAATTTTACATATTAAGTGATATGTTATCTTCCAAGTTGTGATATCTGTTGTGATGTAATTGCCCAACCATAATTTGTATAAATGATATTTCTTTTAATTACAACAATAAAAAGATAAACTTTATTATTATACCTTGTTAGGAACATTTAGATTTTCGATGACAGTAGTAAGATGTTCAATGCCAGCAACAATATTCCCACGCAGTATACAAAAAGTAGCTAATAAGTTTAATGCCAAACTTCTACGAATCAAACTATTATCAGTTTTCTTTAATTCTTCTTGACACGCATTTTCTATGTTTTCGTATTTTTGATTCTGAATACATTTTAATGCATACTCCAAACCTGTACTAAATTAATTAATACATGCATTGTATTATATATTTATCATATGTAATAAGAACTATTTATTTATCTTTAAATGATAATAAATGCATATTATGATTTATATTAAATACTATTTACTTTATGTCTGATTTTAATAATGTCAGTGCAAATTCGTCAGAAAATGGAACATCACAGAAAGATTTCAAATAATTATCAATAAACGTTTTTGATGGTAAATTCAAAGGATTGCCCTTTATGTATTCTTCCATATTCTGCTTGGCTGAAAAACAATTTTAAATTATAGTATAAATACAATTTTCAATGAAATTAACAACTAATCTTGCAATTATAATTTTACAACTAATTTTTATTATAAAAAAATTTTTTAGTTCTATATTAAGGGAAAAAGTTAAGCTAAAAATTAATATTAACTTATGATATACAATTTCAAATATTTGTAGAAATTAACAATTATTCTTGTAATCACCTAAACTGCTGGTTACACTATCTGCAAATATTAGGTCATCTTGATTTTTATATTCATCGAACATTTGCACAGCTGTAATATCTTCTAAAGCGAGTTTAAAGTTGCCTAATTCTGAAAGTACTCTGGCTCTTCGAGATAACGCTTTTTTGTATGTTGGTACTAATGCCAGAGCTTTGTTACAATCAGCCAAGCAATTTTCATTATTATTCTGAAAATATAATATAAACAATAACTACCATTGTTATAATTTAAATTTAAAGAAAAACCAGTTTTTTCTTGACAAAACTGACCAAAGTCATTAATTTACCTACCAATTTATTATAAGCAGCAGCTCGATTTTGAAACAGAATTGATAAAACTATTTCCTCTGCTCTTGGGCACATTAATATTGCATGTGTATAATATGTTATGGCAACATCATAATTTCCTTTTGAAAATTCTATATTTCCCACTTTTTTTATACTTTCGATCCCTTCTAATAGTGTCTGAGGAAAAAAGAATCAATTCTATACTATTTAGGTATTTATAATGTATTTTTTAAATATATTATTTTATTGAAACCGTGTTCACTTATGTTTAACCTAGATTCTCTAAAAAAAAAAAAAAAATTGGTAAGTACCAACCTTTGTTTGGACGGCTTTCTGATAGATTTTGTTGGTTTCGGGCGGTTTTTGAACGTTATCTTTTTTAGCAATACTTGTAGTCACGGCCAGTTTGTCCAAAAGTTCAGTATTAGAGAGTGTTTTGAAATAATAGTACCAAGTTACGCCCAGACCCACCGCGAAACACGGAACGGATACGGCTAAACCAAATTTCCAGTTAATTAAAAAACTGAACGACGATTCGCTGGAATCAGACATTGTGTATATAATACGGAAGATCAGTGTTAATAAAAGATTATCGTAGTACAGTGTTTCTATCGGAGAACTATGAATGTTTTAATCGTTCACAATAAATAATTATAGATGTAATAGAAAAAAATATCGAGTGGATAATAGTCGAACGTAAAAACACGATATGATACCAACGTGCTGTTTGTTATCAAAAATATCAGCTGTCAGCGGAGTCGTGGTGAGAAATTGATAAGAAAGCGGAAAAAATAAAAATTCCAAAGAGATATTGGACACTTACGTTTTTCACGGAGATTGCATGTTGCCGCTATGATTAAAGGAGAAGCCCCTTCGAATCACCTTATTATTCTGTTCAATCTTTTGGATTAAATATTTATATGCGAACATTTTATTATATATATATATATAATCATAGTATCATTGAATTGCAAATGTTTTATTTTTGAACTACGTGAGTACTTAACCTAACCTAACTACGTGAGTTATAACAAGCGACGACACACAGAAGACCGCGATAGTTTAAAAGAACAAGAAATCGCTTATTTGTGCATGATAAAATAAATCTATCGTGTGAGTCCGGCTTTAAATAATCTATTTTGTCACGGTTGATTCAGTTTCCCTTGTGCATTATTTATTTGCAAACGTTGAACCAAACCCGTAATTATAAAACAATTTGAGATTATTCCTTAGCAAGACTATATTTTTTACTTATAATTATTCAGTTGTAAAATATTTGGAAATTCACAAAGCATAACTTGGAAAATAACATTTCGTATTTCAAAATAAGAATTTTTTTTTTGTGAAATTCTAGGATAAGTTGCTCAAGTACCTTACACAGTTGCACATCATAGAAAAACTAATACATTCCCCGTTCAACTCAAAATCTTAAGTACGTTGTACGTGCGAAATTTGTTCCTCCTCTTTCTTCCGGTCCTGTATATATCACAAGGTTAAAAAAAAAGAGACTAAAAATATTATTTTAGATTATGAGTTTAACGAAAAAGCTATTTGTTTTACAAAACTGTGTATATGTGTGTTTTTTTTCCAAAAACATCCAAAACCAATGAAAACGTTAAAATCAAAATCCAGGACAAGGAACTAGGAAGACATTTCGTCGGATCAGCAATGATTGATTTTTCGCTGGTACCTAACCAGCTAGAGACAGCTGTTCATTTTCCGCTACAATATTCGAAAGAATCCACGCTTCACTTGGTACTCTGACTCTGGGGCGGTGCAGACTGTTATTAACATCATAATATTATGGTGAAAGTTATACATATATACTAATGTACCCTGGCATAATAATTATACCAAATTAATTAAACGATTTTTAATGCTGCAAATTTAATTTTAAAAACCCTAGTGTTTTCATCTGTTTTAAATTTATTCCTCTACTAAACAAAAAAAATAAAAATAGGTAATACTGCTCATGGGTAGTAGATTACTACCCTACTGTTGTAGGTAGGAAGTTAGGAAGGTAGATATAGGAATATGATACATTATAAAGTTATTTAATTTATATCTGTAAGCAACAATAAACCATTAATTATGAAATACGATTTTAAGAGAATTTCAATTGAATGAAAATGCTGTAATTTTTACAAATTTTATCAACATTTGATATTAAAACTGTTACAATCAAAAAAGTACTGCAACTTTACTGAGTTTTAAGCCCGAAGAGTCGATATGAATATTTTTAACTGAATTACAACAAATAACAAAATTGAAAAATAATAAATGCATTATTTCGTGAATGTCCCGTTTTTCTTACGTTTTATCCTTGTTTTTCCCAGATATGAAAACCGCACGGAAAATCAAAAAAATGATCCCTTAAAAGTACCATTTGGACAACGTTCCCTTTCAGAAATGGTGCCACATGAGTAAGATTTCTGGTAGACACAGAAGTTTTTGTACACAGCCTTAAAAAGAAAAGAAAAGGTCGGACATACTTTGACATGGGTGCAGCCACTGTTGTAGGTGGGAAGTTAGAAAGATATGATATAGTCGGGAATTTAATGTATATTTGTAAGCAAAGATAAACCATTGCTAACATTGATAGTGTTGCTTTGTCAACAATACAATATATGGTATACATTATATTATGGTAAAATAATTAAAAATGATTGCGTTTTAATGACAACAATGATTGTTTAAAAAAGATTAAAATAATAAAAACTTAATAATAACAAAAAATAAATAAAAACGGTTGTCAAACTAAATAACTGGATTTTCCTCATTATCTTGATTATTAATAAGAATGTTAAAAATATCCTCTCTAAAGTACCACCCAGAGAACATTTATGTTCAAAAAAGATGCTATACTTGGAAATCAGATTAAGCTTTTCAGTACAAAAAGTGTTCACATAAAAAAAAAATAAACATTTCTTGCTCTACTCAGAATCTAAAAAGCAAGTGAATGAAAAGCAAATTAAAAAAAAAACAAGTGTTTAAAAAGCTAAATTTTTATTTCACACATTATTATATAAAAAGTAATATTATTGGTTAAAGGTTAGTACTATATGTCTACATAGTATATAACATCTATACTATGGTACCATGGTACCATAGTACCAACACAATATTTTAATATTATTAACTAGGTTATTATAATATATTCAATGATTATATTTTAAATGTTTTCACAAAAATAATTATCGGAGCAAGTTATTGAAATTTGCAGCTAATAATTGAAAAATTAATTTCTTAAACACTGTAGCATATCAATCAATCATGTATTTGAAATACATTTTTTTTCACTCTATGTATAAAATAAAATGTGTGTATATAATATGTTTTCTTTTTAAATTTAGAATTTTTTTTTAAAAATTTAATATAAATATGTTATTATTGTATCTATGCATGATGTAATGTACCTACTATTATTTCATATGACTTATTTTCAATATACCAATATAATGTACTTATTGATTAATAATTAAATAAATAATTATAAATTATAAATAGGTAGGTACTAAATTAATATTTTTAATTAAAAAATATGTTTTTGGAATTGTATCATTTATAGAGAAGGTAGGTAATGGAGGAGACATTAGGAATGTATTATGATACACTTTGTTTTTCTTTTTTTTTAATCAATTACCTACTAAATTAATTTGCATTTTTGAATTTTGCAATAAACCAACACAATATTCATATTGTTATATCTAATTTATACCTAATTATTATGTATACCTAATTTAAAATTTATTGGAAAATGATGAAGACAATTTTAAAATAATTTTATATCACTAACTATTTGCTCAAACTTAAAATATTATCCTTCTATAATCTTACAATGTATAATATTTTGTAATAGGCAGGTTATGTCTATAATAGTAATAATTGATCTAAGAGTGCTTAAGTACTTATGGCTATGACTTAAAAAATGATAATAATAAAAACACCCAAACATTCAACAATGAAAATTGAGATTGAATATTATATTTTTTTTTAGATCTACCACGATTAAAATTGGAAATTTATTAAAAATAAATAAGTTGCTATTATGTTACTATGTGATTTATACAAAATTTCTAGGATGACCAATAACAAGTTAAAAAGATAATGATTAATTTTGTATTTTAATTACCTATATTATGTTAATTTAATTTTAACACACTATTAAATTCATAACCTATACACTACTGGAATACATCATGTACATAATATATACTATTCATATTGACTATTGCATAATTTACAATTTTGTACTATTACTATTATTTTGTATTATAAAATAATTTTGAACTAACTAATATTAATTAAACTAATCTTGTTCATAATAGAGATAAATATTAAAATTTTTAAAATTTTTTTTGGAAATTCAATCAACCTTGGGAATTATTGTTGCAAAACGTTTAGCTACTGCTATATGGGCCTGTGCTGAATCCCTTAACAAAAATAAGTGTAACAGTTCTTTTTCGGATTTAGACAGAAGTATGGCTACCTCCCAAAAATTAACAGCTTCCTTAAATTTTCCACTGAAACACACAAGTACAAATCAAATATAAAAATAATATAATGTTTTAAAAAAACAACTAATGCATATTTATTCATACATAATAATTAAATGGATAAGATTTGATAAGCAAAAAAATGCATTGTGGAAGAAGTACATTATGTATTTAAAAAAAGCTAATTTACAATATGTATGTATTTATTTATTTTATGGATAATTGTCTGTAAAAATTATGGAATATTGAACCGGTCAATCATATTTTCTTCCACAATACCTTCTTTTGCACATTATATTTGTCTAAATTAATTTTTGGTCAAGATGTAAACTATTAGATTATACTGTCTATCAGTGCACCATATTAGTTCTAATGCTGATTTGTTCATACCAGTTTATGATACAGATTCCGATTTTATGGTATTGTTTTAATAAGAAATTTGATATAATAATCTCTCAAATGTTTTTAGAATGTTTCTTAAATGTTTATCTGTTTCCCCAAAAAGTTTTTACAGTTTTTTTTACACATCAGTTTGGTCTACCAAATTTCTAGTCCATGTAAATATTAATATTTGATCATATTTTTGAATATTAATTGATAAAAAAAATTTTCAATAAATTGAGTTATAATGGTAATTTTAAATAATCTTATCAAAATCTGTATAGTAAAAATAAATCAAATGATTTAAGTTACAATGTGGTTTTTTAATTGTAAGAATATTATTAAAATAGTCTCAAGTCTAAATTAAAAAATATCTTAACAGAATGGTATTGAAATAAAATAATCATTTAAAAATATTATATACATTAGTTTTTAATATCTTACATTTGCATGTTAAGTGTTCCAAGTATTTCATAGGCAAAATCACATCTGGAATCAATTTTTAATGCTTGTCCAAGGAGAATAAATGCATCAGGTATACTATTTTTCCAAGATAATAAGTTCAATGCTGAAAAACAAAACCATTCATTTGTTGTAAGCTAGTTAATTTATACAGAAAGGTAGAGTCAGGGTTGCTATAGATGTTAGATTTTAAAATACCTTGATTTTCCAGGA